CTTTCTTTTTACTGCTAAAAATAAATCACAATTACCAATAAAAACAAAAGTATTAAAATAACTCAGCAAAATTCATATTTGTAAATGGTATATATCTAGTGGTGTCTATAGAGAGAGGGAGAGGTCCAGAATTTTATGTCTGCTGTAGGTTATAAGTCTGTATAGGCTGTATTGAAATAGAAGTAGTTTTAATGTTGAGACACTACTCATAGTTGAAGGATCTCTTTGATTTTGAGTAACTTAAATTATGCCATATATATTGGCCTATTCACTATCACTTGAAACATGAAATCATTTTTGATCAAGTTGTTGAGAAATTTGCCAACAAAAAAAAACAAGAAAAGTTACTTTGTAGAAAGCTGTAATTTTCATTTCAGAAATAAAGATGGTCCTAATTTTTTACACTTATTTCCCTATATGTCATTTTTTCCTTTTTATCTGTTACTGATAAAGTTTAAGTATGTTTGATGTGTATTTAAAGCATACTATATTTCAGTATGTGAAAGTAATATTATAATGGTACACAAACTATCTTTTTTTAACTTTAAGAATGAGTCACTGAGCAATATGTATTTTTTGTGGAGGCAACAAACTCAAGCGCTGCCTTGGGCAGCACACACTCTAGATACACCACTGTATATATTATATGAACATTATTCAGTAAATATAAAAAATTAGAAATTAGCATAAGACAAGGATGTGTCTTTTTGCCAGACATTTAAATTTTATAGTAAGGCAATCCTGAGAGAATTACAAGTTCTACCAGGATTTATTACTGGCAGCCACAATCTTAACAACATTAGATATGCAGATAATACATTGTTGATAGGAGACATAGAAAGTAAACTGCAGAAGCTTCTACAGGAGGTAGTAAAGAAAAGTTAGAATAGAGGATTAAACATTAATTGTAAGAAGAGAGAATGTATGATTGTCAGCCAAACGCTCAGCCCAAGATGTGAACTACAAATTGTAGATATCAAAATCAAGCAAGTATGAAAATTTAAATATCTGGAAAGAAGGCAGAAAATGGGACGACAAAATCTGAAGACATCAAAATAGAAAAAGATGCCTTCCAAAACCTAAGTAAAGTATTAAGAAACAGGAAAATTTTATTAGAAACAAAGAAAATAATACTAAACTGTTATGTAATATCAGTGCTTCTATAAGGTAAAGAATGCTGTACAATCTCCTCAAAGATGAAGAAGAGACTTACGGTAACAGAAATTTGGTTCAACAGAGGGATGCAGAGAATACCATGGACTAAACATGTGAGCAATAATGAAATTTTGGGGAAAATAGAAACAAAAATAAGCATATATTTATAATTAGAAATAGAGTATTGAAATTTCTACAGGACATAATGAGGAAAGAGAGTTTGGAGAATTTACACTCATGGGACATATTGACGATTGGAGAATTTACACTGTGGGTTAGGGTTGCCATTTTTGCTAAAAAGTCATAGCTGTCAAGCAGCTATAAACGCAGGTCACTTCTTGTCTTTCTCTCTCTTATCAATGGGCATAGAGATATTTTTCCCCTCAGTGACTGAAATTTATTCATACACACACACACACATGTGTATCACCCACATAATTGTAATGTCTTGTTTCTATTGAATGCATACCAATGTATTTCTCTCTCTTTTTACTCAGTTATATAAAAACAAAATATAAAATATTGCCTTGTTGAAATTCATTATGTTTCCTTATACCCATCATTTACATGTGTAAAATATTCTTGCCATTACTTTTAGTCAAATTAAGAGCAGTGCCCGCAACAGTTTGACAATCATGACTTGATTTCAACATTCACATACTGCAATGGCATTCATGGGACAGAGTAAAGCAATGGATAACCTACCTAATGAGCTTGTGTAATTGATTGACAGAAGAGGGATTAAGAAAGATAGCAAAAAGAGAAACCATAGTAAGAGCCACAAAGAATAAGAAGTTATGGAGTGCCATGATCGGCCACATCTTGAAGGGACGTGGCACATGATAGAAGGTAAAAAATATTTTATTCCAAAATAAGTGTACCAATACCAATTATCAGGTCTTGATAGGGAGAAGAGAGTTATCCTCCTTTGGTGGTAATCCTCTTAATGGTGAAAATGGAAAATCTCTTGTTTTTTACTTTGATAGCTGCTGCATTGCATATGTGCATCTAGTTTCTCTTTGCGCCAGACACCACATCATGAAAACATATTGACTGTTGCTTATCCTCACTTCCCTTTCAGAAACCAGTTATTCCAATAGTCATCCTAAAAAGTAGGAACTGTCTCATCTTTCTTTCAAGGAATTTTTCTGTAAGTGATCACCTTCTGTTATGACTTCTTGGGAAAAATAGTGAAGCGGTTTCCTGTTGCTTTACCTACATTTTGAATTCAGATTTGTCCTTCTCTTAGACACTGTCATCAAAAGTTTAAGACTGCAGTCTATTCCACTATTTACTAAGAAGAAATGGCTTTATATCTTTCACAATGGTATTTGTGGGAAAGTGAATGCATCACATTAAGCTGGTATTATGAACTTGGTTCACCAATTCCAGGTTGATAACTCTTATACTATTAAACCATCCCAAACTAAAATACTAATATATAAGCAAATGAGTAAATGTTTCTTTTCAGTGTAACCAAAATAGTTCTTAGATTATTCAGTTGCATAGACCAGGAATTGATTTTATTACACATGTGAATGTCAATCATCAAACCAAAGTTCTTCAAATATTGTGGAGAGTGTAAGCTGATATGAACATGAAAGTGTAAAGTAACAAAAATCAAAATTTATTTTGGCTCCAGTTTAATAAAATTATGACTTACTGTGGCAGTTCTGACATTTTTGTTATAAAAATTGAAGATGCCAAACAATTTTGTGTAAAGAAAAAAATTTTAAATAAATTTTTTTTCTCGTGGAAAGACATTATCACAGTAAACAGTCTGTTTTTAAATACAGCTCATCTATACTTGCATAAACATAGCATTGAAAGAAATTAGCTTCTATTTCCATTGGTAAGGAATTTTACTATGAATTTTACTATGCATCTTACTAGCTAAGAGCTCTTTACTCATTCAAAGCTTTTACCAAAACCCTAAAATTGAATTTTCTCTCTTAGATTGATTTATCTATACTTGTCAATATTAAGTGAAATTTTGCTTTCAATAGCAAATAAATGAATAAATCGTGTTTTCAACAGCAATCGAATTGATAAATGCTTTTAGATTTCAAATATAAATCTGGTAATATAAAGTCCCATAATGCAATCAACAGACAAAATCTAATTTTCATGTAGTGTTCATGAAGATGAAGTGTGTAAATATTTAAAGACAGGAACCTTAGGTCACTTCTTGTCTTTCTCTCTCTTATCAATGGGCATAGAGATATTTTTCCCCTCAGTGACTGAAATTTATTCATACACACACACACACATGTGTATCACCCACATAATTGTAATGTCTTGTTTCTATTGAATGCATACCAATGTATATAGAAAAGATTGTCATTTGGTAAAACAACTTGGAAAGTCTAGTGATTATAACATATATATAAAATCTTTTGGTAAAATGACTTATATGAAATATCCAAACAGACTATGTAAGATGGAATATATGAAAACCAGTTGGATGTTTATCAAAACAACTGAAAAATTAAGGAAAAATCATTGCCATCGAAACCTTGTTACTTAGAAATGCAGTAAAAAGAGAAGTAATATTAATAATGCAGAATGATAAAGGTTAACTTAAATCGTTTCCTGTTGCCATAATAGGATATGACAACACAATTACGAATTTTCAAATGTACTATTGTTCATTGATCAGAGTCATTTCCAGTGGCAGAATAAACTTTTTGTACAGCAAATCACATACTGAGTGATAAAGGTTAATCAAATTAAAAATAAATATTTGTAAATAAAATAAACATCTGTGAATTATCAATGAGATTTATACATAGGAAAATGTTAAAATAAAAGTAAAATATAAAGCTTTAGAAAAAATAAAGAGTTATAAGGAGAAAATAAATCTTATATATCCAAAGAAAATAGTAAATATATATAATTGAAATTATAATTAATGGTCACATTTAGGTGTTAATGAAAATATAGAATAAAATTAAAATACAAATTATAATAAAATATGCTTGATTGGTATCTATTTGGAAATTATTTTCTTTTGGAAGATGTTTTAAAAACCTTAGTTTTGATTAATTGAATTGAATCATGATATTGTGTATTTTTGTCTACTCAGGTAGGTCTTAAGAAAAAACTCAAGTATCAAAATGCCAACAATAAATAAAACATGAATAAGTGTATAATTGTTAAAAAAAGATAATTGGAAAATAAATTAAACATAGCACTTTATGAACAAATGTGTTGTTAATATATGAAAGAGAGTTTATGTAGGATAGAATTACTGTGGTTGATATCACATTACTGAAATACATAAGATTATTTTAAAAGTTGACTTAGTGTGTCTGATATGTGAAGATCAAAATATTCTATAGATAAGAACTTTCACTGTCAAGACCTTTAGCAGTTGTAATTCTCCCTGGGAGCAGGGATAGTTGAATACTGTATGTTGTTTCTTCATTCACTTGTTCATTTTAGTTCAAGTGAGATACTGTGATTGAACTTGACTGACTGTTTGCATGACACTAGTCTGAACTGCATGTTGACTGTTGTTTTGTGTTCCACTATCTGGGGCCTCTGATTCTATTTTTTTTATACCTATTGGTAAGATACATTGAGCGCCCAAAATAAGAAAGATTTTGTGCCTTTTGAAGTGTCTCAAAACAATAAGACTGTGTTTGTCATGTGATTTTCTTGGTGTATTAATATTTTGTGGTATTGAACTAGTATTTGTGCGTGCTTTCTATCTGATAAAAATGAATTCCTCTAAAATTAGGGATAATGTTCTTACTGTTTCCTTACTGATTCAATAATTCTTCTACCATTCTAAAAGAAATATTTTGATTTATCATAAAATAGATAAAACCAATATAGCAACTTATGGCCACATCATGTTTAAACACCAGTTCCAGTACAATCACCAAAGTTAAGCAATATTGAGCCTGGTCAGTAGCTAGATGGGTGGCCACTTGGAAATACGAGGTACTGTAAGCTTGAATGTGCAGGTGGTGTAATGGATAATGGCTCAGAATTGTTAATCGGAAACTGAGTTACAATTCCCATTGAGTTTCTTATATTCACTTACGTGCAAATACCCTTAGGAAAGGTATGAATCCACCTCTTCTCCCTCCAGCTATGGGTTGCTTAGTAAGACTAAGTCATTCTGACAAAAAATATTCTTACAATCTAAAAATATTACCTGGCTTTAAATAACCTGCAAAGAGTTGATAAACAGTAGAAAAAAAATCAATCACTTAATCTAAGTCAGTATATTATAATCAATATTAGTCACTAAAATCTTAAGTTAATTTCAAATATTTGCTAAGTGGGGTGGCTGGCCACTTGTATCCCAGTATTCCTGCCTATCTGGGTGGCTATCCAATCCCTATTGCAGATGCCTGCTCAGGCACATTTTTGTGTTTGTTCAATACCCACAGAGCCCAGCTCAATTGTGGTTTATGCTGCAACTATACTAAGTAGACTGAAGTTATAGTTTTTGGGAGAGAGCACATTATCTGGCATTATATCAGTCTATTTTCTCCCTCAATAATTTTTTCTCATATTCTCCACACTCAGTAACCCTTTGTGTCTTAGTGGCTTTATTGCCATGGTTGGGGGGAATTGATTTAAAAAAATTCTTTACTCACATATAATTTACCTTGTCTTTGAAAAGGTTTACTGATAGACTTTACAATACAAACAGATATTTAATTTTTGTTAATGATTTAAATAATAATAAGGCTTTTTTCTATAAAATCTTATATATACATTTACTGATAAACATAAATTTAAACAAGAATTAAAATATTTATTCTTAGTTTAGATTCTGTTGAAATAAATAATTTTCATGTATTTGAATTTTTTTTTAAGCTGCATTGTAATTTAATAATTATATTTTGCAAACTAATTATAATGTTATTTTTAAAATGATGGCTCAATTATAAAGTAATTCATAAAATGACATATGTGTTCACTTTATCTTAAAGCCATATGTTTGTAGCATTAGAAAACTTAATTATCTACACTTGAATCAGCTATACATGCCAAAGTGTAATGCATTACATGAAAGTCTGGCCAGATGCAGGAAAGGTAAGTTGCCAGGTGAGTTGGAACCAGTTCATCAAAATGACATTTATTCCACCTTTCTATATTCTCTCACCATTCATGACCTAGCCACATCACTGACACAAGGTATGACCAAGTCAGCTATCAAGTAAGACCTTACTTTCACTTCATTTTCCATATATACTAATATGTATCTGGTTCACTGGTGGAACACACTATTGTCACATTCAAAAAATGTGTAAAATATTGTAAATACATAAATCAAGTATATTCTTTTAAACATATATACATATCCTTATCTGTTTTTACTGATGAACTAAATGTTACTAAATTATGGATATAGTAATGCAATATTGTGATGGTAACAGACATTTTATCTCCACCTGTTATTCCAATGAATTGAAGTTATGATCTCATGACTTTCTTTTATATCTTATAACTGATTCAGGTTAACCAGATTTCTTGTAATTTACTTTTACATTAATAATGTGCATAGAGGAAAAATATATATAATCTAATGAAAACTTGTATCATTGTGTAAACAAATGTTTTCCTTTTTTATATTATATATATTTGAGCTAATGTTCTCACCTTTGTTGTTATTTTCACAATGTTTCAGCTGCTGTGATATCCAAATTTCTTCAAGTGTTTCTCTTGATCTATGCAGAATTTTTGGGCTCATCCCCTTAATATAGAAAATTCTTACATTTTCTAAATTAAAACAATTTTGTATTTTAACATACAGATTTCACTTTTAATATCATAAAAGATAAAGATTTCTGTCTTAATCTCATTAGATCTTAAGTAATTTAGAAGCTGATTATACAATTTGTGGTTGGAATGCTTCTGAGGAATGTTTTCAAATCAAAAAATAACATAAAATTTTATCAGATTGAAATTATAGAATTAAATAAGTTGAAAATATTTACATATTTTAATGTTATATTTTCACTTGAGACAACATTGAATAAATACATTTTTTTCAGAAATTCAAACCAATCTTTTCTTATTTTTAATTTGGGAGTGTCACTCAACAATCTCAAAAATACCTTTTTACTGTTTGGTACAATTTCAATGATGTTGAATGACAAATGAAAATAATAATTAAAAATTTAGGCTTTGAATTACTGATGTATATTGCCAATCAGCTTATTTAGTTGATATTAAAGTCTCATGGTTAGAAAGTGAACATTCTAACCACTCAACTACATGCCCATTTGAATCTCATCATGGTCTATTTATCAGGAAGGTGACTTCTTGATTTTATTGGGCTGGGGAGATGATTCCAGTAGGTGACACCTTTGGAAAGTGCCTGAAAACCATATCGCAGGTTGACCCAACCGTTACGAGTAAAACTGAGTAGATGGAACTATCTGGGAGTGGTCAATGGTTGTGCTAGCATGTAGTTGCAAGTCATCAAGGTTTTGAGCGTGCTGGCTTTGTTCACACTGTTGATAACACCAGATAATGCACTCTCTCCCAGAAACTGTAACTAAGGTCCACTTAGCATATTTGCAATCTAATCCAAAGTTGGGATCTGTGGGTGTTGAACAAACACAAAAATGTGCCTGAGCAGGCATCTGCAGTAGGGATTGGTTAGCCACCCTAGTAGCCAGGCATACTTGGATTGACACAATCATCAGCCTGACGATTATGTCCAGCATGAAACAGCCTGTTATTGAGCATTTTATCCCATAAAAAATACCTTAAAACTATATTTCTTCATATATATATAGATAAATAGATAGATATATAGATATTGATATATAGAAGAAATATGAAAATAGGCAAGACTTCTCAAAGAAAAAGACTACAATAAAAAATTGTGTAGCTTATGATCAAATACTTCTTCCTGACTGAAGATAAGTTTTCATCTTTACACCAAATGGTAATGATGAACTTTGCTGTTTCTGTACAGGAAATATTTGACATTCATTGTCCTTAGAATTTTTAAGTCCACTATTTTTGTTCTGTCTAGTACATTTTTTAAAAAATCAATTCACCCCAAGCAAAGCAATAATGCCACTAAGAGGCAAGGCATTACTGGGAGTGAAAGAGAATGAGAATATTTTAGAAGTAACTAGAAATGCAATCCTAAACAGGAAACAATGGCTAAACATCTACTCTTGTTTAATAGACCAGGAGTGTGAAGGAGTGTGAACCAGAAAATAGGTAAATATATTTACTCCTTACAGATGGGAGTTCCATTTCAATCCTTTCATTTCTGGTTATGTGGACAATCAACATGGAGATTATATGATTATTTTCCCTTCTAGTTATATATGCACTACATATTTTTGTTGTTGTTGCTGTTAGAATTTTTCAAGTGATGTGGTTTTTGTTATTTGGTAAAACCCTTTGTGATTTTGTAGTGCCATTAAGTATCAGTAGATCAAAATATAGGTCTCACAGTAATATGATTCATCATTACTCAGGAAAAAAATAACTTCTAATTATCATTCCAAGTTAATATCATCTTTGGGAATTTCCTTAAGTGCATGAATTACCAAATACTATGTAAGTTTTTATGACTAGTTCTGAAATTATGTGTTGAGAGGAAAAAGTTATAGTCAATGAAATAACAATTATGAGCCACTATTAATTATCGCTGATTGAAATTAAGTCCCATTTAATGAAAAAGATTAGCGCAGTAACACTTGTCTAGAAAAACATGATTATATAAGTTGATTTGTTCATTTTCAATTTTATTTCAGAATCAAATTGCACAATTTATCATATTTGTCTTATCTCTGAGAAAAAATAATACAAAATGTCAGATTTGATATAGGGGCCCCTCATAGCAGTAATGGCAAAAATTGCTTAGTTTTGCCAACTTTTTCCACTGCCTTCAGGGCATATATTTTACCAGCTTTCTCTATAGCTTTTAGGGTATATACTTCACCCATAGTACAATGGATAGATGTTGTTGAATAGTAAAATCTCCAGGAACAAAATTTATAGCTAGAAAACACTTAAGCCTACTTTCTGGAGATCTTTAGTCATAAATAACCAAAGATGCAATGCAATCTGGAGATTCTTCCAAAATTTTGCTCAGAAAGAAAATTTTAAAATCTCTATAAGTCTCTGAACTTTACACAGCTAATATTTACTGGCTGTATATTATCAATAGACTCTGTTTTGTTTATAAAATGAAATAAATTAAGGAAATCTTCATTGTTTTTTAAACATTGGATTAATTATGAAGCATAAATAATTGAATGCATTCCTCTCTTTTTTTTTTTTTAATCATTTCACCCGAATCAAGGCTACAAAGCCTCTAAGACACAAGAGAATATAAGAAAAACACTATTAAAGAGAGAGAGCAATAAAAGAACAGGAATTAAAAAGACAGAACATAATGATTGATATTAGATTTAAATTTTTCAACATCAAAGTTGACTGGGAAACAAGAAGCCAGAAGAGAAGTGTGATAGAAGAAAATGTTAGTATAGAACTTATGATTGCATCTCACCATTTCAACTGTAAAATGATGAAACCATGCTGACAATCTCATACTACACTTAATTTTATAAAGTCTGGACACCAAGTTCATCAGGACGATTACCATGAAAGTATTTATAGAAGAGGAAGAGGGAAATTACATTATGGCAGTGAGAAAGTGACTGAAACCAAGATGCCAGGTCAGGACCAATAGCATTGCAGATTCTTTTTGATTTTATCAAGAATCTCTAAATATATAGCAGGAGCAGCAGACAATGCAAGGATGAATGGTAGACTTATAAATATGTAAGATAGATTCTGGAGAGAAAAATTGTCTTGCACAATATAGTGAACCAACTTTCTTAGCAGCAGACCTAGCAATGGATTTAATATAATCTTTCCAGTTCATGTCAGCTGAAACCATTAGCCCAAGAAAGTGCAATGAGTCACTTTTCTGGAGGTTAGCATTAGCCATATTGATGGAAG